TGTTGAGTACAGGGATGAAGTCCGTAAGACATTCCTGCCCATAGTGCCAAGAATATATTTGACTTTTTGGGGTTGTATGGTTGCTGACAATAGCCTCTCCATTGACTGCAGCTTGGAGGCAAGAGTGGAGGTTTAAAAAAATGTAATCTGGCATAATGTTACTACATTGGTGCACACTTGCTTTGCTCTTCTGTCCACAATTGTCCCACTACAACACCCTAGGGTGCCCATGACTCCTTATTGTTGTGTGGGTTACTGTGTCTGCATGCTTTTTTCTGCATGCACCTTCCAACCTGTAACAGCTCCTAGCCATGCTTGGGTTCATAGCAGCCTACAGTGATTGGCACTACAATGGTTAAAGACTCCTCTAGGGACCGTTTTTCACAGACCATGGCAGATCCAAAGGCAAGGTGAAAGGGCCAGATGGCCTTACTAGCTCAGACTCAGCTCATAGCTGCAATGGGGGTGGTAGTTTTGTCTACACAGAGCCTTAGTACTGTTTATTTTCATAGCTGCCCCCAGTCTGACTCCCTACCTTCCTCTGACCATTATGCTGGCCCATCTGCAACACAAATTCCATATTTCTTATCCAGAAAAGAATTTTCCCAATGTGAGATTTCATGGGAAGAATCTCACGCTTTATAGTGGCCATTGATAGAAAAGGTCACAACCATTCTCTTGTGGCCTCCCCTCATGAAGTCATTAAAAAATATCCTAAAAAGCATGTTCAAAGCATGATGCCTAACCTGAACGAACCCCACTATTGCTAGTGTAAATATAAAGTATCATCAGTCAAGTTCTCAAGATACAATTAAAACATCAATTGATTTATACACATTAAAACATTCTGAAAACTTGTTTAAAGCATGCTAATGCTTTATTCACATTAAAACATACCCCAAAAACATGTACAAAGCATGCTAATGCCTGTCGTAAGTCAACCCCCTTATTTACATTAAAGCATATACTAAGAACATGTCTAAAGCATGCTAATGCCTAACATAAAGTGTAGCATCTATTTAGAGTAACTAAAGTAGTTGTTTTAATTGTTGATAATGATGTTCAATGAGCAATAACTGCATTCATAGTGAATTTTGCCATGCTTGTTTTAGAGTGGAGAAGGATTGTAATAGCCTCTTCTTTCCTTGAGGCATTGGAGGTTACTAATAGTATTGGCTATGTTGTCCATGGCTACAAGTTTTTTGGATGCAGGAAACTAAACTTCTACATGACCATATAGACTGACTAGTTTAATCTGACCTAAAATATTGTGTTCTCTAAATAATAAATTGGTTTTTGTAGTAGTTTGTAATGGAACCGACCCCAGACTGCGCTTGGGTACTCCTGTTAGACTACCGCTTCCCGTCCGAACACTGACAACAGACACCACAGCTGACCATACAGGACTAGACGACACCAATCTTGAAGTGATCCAGAAAGTAGACTAGTTTGTTTTAACACAGATACAAGATATATATATTCAAGGGAACAATCCCCCCTCCCTGCATAATGACACAGGGCAGGGCAATCTACATTTAGTAACAAGAGACACACCAACAGGCAGTCCCAGCAGGAGGGAGGGCTGCTGGAGACACCCACCACCAAGCCAATACACATAAACACAAACATCATATTATAGTTTGTTCTCAAGCAAGACACACAATAGAACAATGGGATGCAACCACATGACATTAAACAATCTATAACCCCTACCTCACCTATACATATCTACACAATATTAGGACAGATCACCCTGTACCCCTAATAGGCACTGGGTGACTTACACATAATAGGTATATGGGGAGCTGAGACAGGGGTCTCCCCACCTCTCCAAAGTGAGCTGGGTTCCATGGGCCCCCCACCCGTCACATAGTTGACCCTAATTATTGAATAATCTCTCTTTTCTTGGTTTCACTTGTCAACAATGGGTTTTTTAGCTGCATACTATATTGCCACACAAAATAAAGGACTACTAAATGCTTTGGACTGATATTATGCTATTAGCTATTAATGCTATACAAGCTTAATAGAAATATTTTCATTCTTGAAGAAGTTAACTTGTATTCACTACAAAAGCTTGGGTACGGGGGATGGGGGGTAAAAAAATAGTAAGGACTCTTTACTGCACATAAATAGGTATTGAACATGATCATAGGTCCACTTCAGCAAGAGTAATTATGACTCCTGTATGAAATGTTATTATGTGCTAATCCCACCAACATAGAGCAACAATGTTATGTTAGTGGTGAAACTCCATAATTTATAAATCCATTTTCTGTAAGACTTGGTAAAAATGCTTTAAACATTTGACTCTTGGTCTCTTGTAGCATTCTGACCATGCCTGTATTCAGTCAATTACACTTGTGCTTGACGAGGATATGAATAAGCAAGTTACCATCCTGAGAAATGGAGATGTCCAGTTTGGCCCTAACCAAGCTATTATCCTAAATGGTAAGTTCTGTTCTGCTTTTCACTTGTGTGTAAGGAAATAATACAATTTATGTGGCCAATATATAATGTATATACATTCATAGCAACCATGATGGCAGATAGAGACATGAGGTCAGTGTGTGCAACCTATTCTATTTTCCCAGTGCAGTTTAGACATTCGATCATATGCCTTACATTCTGATCATTAGGATATGACCATACATGTTATATAACCAACTATGTTTGTACTTAAAATGCTTACATTTTAAGTGATAACACTAATAATCTCACACTGAACTGGCATGAAACCTAAACCAATGGAATTTGAATAAAACCAAAAGGACTTGTTTTTTAAATGTGCTTTTATTAATGATCACTTGGGCCCAACCAACAGTCTGAGAGTAGAATGAAATCTTATTATGGTATTATGAGCGTAATAAGAGAGAGAGCTATTATTTGTAAAGGGCTGTACTTGCAGTGACCTCTAGCACTCTCATGAATAATGTTACTAGTCTCTGACTGTCTCCTGCAGCATATCTTCAATCTCCAACCACATCTGTAGTATGCCCACAGTCTCTGACCATCTTCTGTATTATGTCTACAGTTTCTGGCAGTCTTTTGTACCAACACATTTACTGAATACTCAGTGATTTCCTTGGTGATGTTGAGGACTGCCATTGAGTCCCTTATACCCTGTAAACTGACCACCACTGATTTATAGCATTTTAGTGTAGTATTCTGATACCCACAAACAGTAGTTTGATGCTATGGGTCTTCTGAATTGTGGCATGTGTAGAAGGAGCAAAATGATCCAAAAATCTTGGTCAGTTCTGTGACACATAGGGGGAAATTACTAAAAAGAGCATGCAAAATCTGGTGCAGATCTGCACAGAAATCAATCAGCTTCCAGGTTGTATTGTCAAAGCTTAATTGAACAAGCTGAAGTTAGAAGTTGATTGGCTACCATACAGAGCTGCAGCAGATTCTGAGTGCACCAGTTTTAGCAAATCTCCCCCATAAACTGGCAGCTGTTGTTAAGGTTAGCCTCAAGTAGTCTAAATCAAATATACTTTGCAACTAAACCCATTAACCTATAGTTAATATGAAACAAGTCAGAGATCAGAAACTATAATACATACACTATATTGCCAAAAGTATTGGGACACCCCTCCAAATCATTGGATTCAGGTGTTCCAATTACCTCCATGGCCACAGGTGTATAAAATCAAACACCTAGGCATGCAGACTGCTTCTACAAACATTTGTGAAAGAATGGTTTGCTCTCAGGAGCTCAATAAAATTAAGCGTGATAGGTTGCCACCTGTGCAATAAGTCCATCCGTGAAATTTTCTTACTACTAAATATTCCACAGTCAACTGTTAGTGGTATTATAACGAAGTGGAAGCAACTGGGAACAACAGAAACTCAGCCATGAAGTGGTAGGCCACGTAAAATGACAGAGTGGGGTCAACGCATGCTGAAGAGCACAGTGTGCAGAAGTCGCCAACTGTCTGCAGAGTTAATAGGTAAATATTAAACTTCATGTGGCCTTCAGCTTAGCACAACAACAGTGTGAGAGCTTAATGGAATGGGTTTCTATGGCCGAGCAGCTGCATTCAAGCTTTACATCACCAAGTGCAATGGAAAGCATCAGATGCAGTGGTGTAAAGCACACCGCCACTGGACTCTAGAGCAATGGAGGTGTGTTCTCTGGAGTGAGGAATCACACTTCTCTGTGTGGGAATCCGGTGGATGTGTCTGGGTTTGGCGGTTGCCAGGAGAATGGTACTTGCCTCACTACATTGTGCTAAGTGTAAAATTTGGTAGAAGGGGGATTAGGGTGTAGAGTTGTTTTTCAGGAGTTGACCTTGGCCCTTAGTTCCAGTGAAGGGAACTCTTGAGGCATCAGCATACCAAGACATTTTGGACAATTTCATGCTCCCAACTTTGTGGGAATAGTTTGGGGATGGCCCCTTCCTGTTCCAACATGACTGCGCACCAGTGCACAAAGCAAGGTCCTTGACCACTAGCCTACAGGACACTTATACCCCCTTCCTGCACAGGCCAATTTCCAGCTTTCAGCGCTGTCACACTTTGAATGACAATTGCACGGTCATGCAACACTGTACCCATATTAAATTTTTATAATTTTTTTGAGACAGATAGTTTTCTTTTGGTGGTATTTAATCACCTCTGGAATTTTTTTTTTTTTTTTAAACAAACCAAAAACCACTGAAAATTTTGAAAAAAAACCCTGTTTCTTAGTTTTTGTTATACAATTTTGTAAATAAGTGATTTTTCTCCTGCACTGATGTGCGCCAATGAGGCTGCAGTGATGGGCACTGATAGGCTGCACTGATAGGTGGCACTGATGAGGAGGCACTGGTAGGTGGCACTGATGGGCATTGACAGGCATCACTGATGGGCACTGAAAGGCAGCACTGATACATGACACTGATATATGGCACTGATAGGCGGCACTGATAGGCAGCACGGACGGGCACTGATAGGCGGCACTGACTGGCACTGATAGGCGGCACTGACTGGCACTGTTAGGCGGCACTGACTGGCACTGATGCGCACTGATAGGCGACACTGACTGGCACTGATTGGCAGCACTGATAGGTGGCACTGATTGGCATTGATAGGTGGCACTGACTGGCACTGATGGAGGACATTGAAAGGCAGCTCAGATGGGCACTGATATGTGGCATTGATGTGCACTGGTATGCACTGATATGTGGCATTGATGTGGCACTGATGGGCACTGGCACGTGGCACTGATGGGCACTAACAGGTGGCACTTCTGGGGCCACACTGATTATCAGGGCACACTGATCATCAGTGCCCTGATGATCAGTTTACATGTCCCCTCCGCGGAAAGCCGATTACCGGCTCTCCTCTCCTCTCGAGCTGTCAGCATGACAGCTCGAGAGGAGAGAAAATGCCGATAACCGGCATTTCCGTGTTTACATGTGATCAGCTGTGATTGGACACAGCTGATCACATGACCGAGCCGACATCTTTGGCTCTTTCTGTGATCCGCTGTGTCCGAGGGATCCGCTGTGTCCGATGATCGCCGAGCTGCGTGCTCCCTGAGCCACGCATGCACAGTGAGAATGGTAGGACATCATATGATGTCCTATCAGAACGAGAGAACCACCTTGCGCTCGTCATTGTACTATAGGGCGGGGCAGAAGGTTGTTAAAGACATGGATGAGTGACTTTGGGGTGGAACTTGACTGGCCTGCACAGAGTCCTGATTCACCTTTCAGATGAATTAGAGCAGAGACTGCAAGCCAGGCCTTCTCGTCTGACATCAATGCCTGACCACACAAATGTGCTTCTGGAAGAATGGTCAGACATTCCCATAGACACACTCCCAAACCTTGTGAAAAGCCTTCCCAGAAGAGTTGAAGCTGTTATAGCTGCAAACGGTGGGCCAACTCAATATTGAACCCTACGGACTAAGACTGGGGTGCCATGAAATTTGATGTGTGTGTAAAGGCAGGCGTCTGAATACTTTTAGCAATATAGTGTATATTTACTACTTGGCTGGCTTGTATAACTTTCAGCGGTGTTAATAGATGGCAATAAGATAAAAACTGCATGTGTTGATTTGGATTGAAATATGTATGATGAAAAGCAATTTTGCCTACAGTAAAATACAGTGCATATGAAAAAAGCTTTCAGACTTCTGACCAAAGGCTACAAGTTAAGGTTAGTTGCCAAAAGCAACCAAATCAGGAATGAGAATTTTACTATTAAGCTGAAAGCTGACTGGTTGTTATGGGTTACTATGAATTTTAGGTTTAATTCTTCTTGTCCATTTTTCACAAAGAAGGAGGGAATAGGGAGGCCTGCTTTAAGAAGCAGTATTCAGGCATGTAGAGATAGGTGTTGATGCTGCATGCCACATTTACCTTTACATAATGCAGCACAAAGTGCTAACTAGTTTCTTACATGTACTGCTCAGTTCAGATATTCTGGTTTTGGCTAGTACTCTGGGGGCATTCAGTGTGTATAATGAACAAACACATATTTTTAAAAAAATATATGGAATTTTGAACCCCTTATTTTTGTTTAGCAATGTGCAATAGTGATAAATAATTGAAAAACAAATTGTGGTAATAATCTTTTACATATTCTTGTTCCTTCTGCAGGTGATATTGAGGTTCGGAATTTGTCATCAATGTTTGTCCAGCTAAAAACCAAGTTAGGAATAAGAATTCAGTTTGCAAAAGGAGGAGAGAGACTTTATATTCAAGCCAGCAGTGCATGGAAAAGGAGAACACTGGGTTTATGTGGAACATTTAATGGAAATCTAAGAGATGATTTTCTGTAAGACATTTGTGTTTTTATCATACTTTGTCATGGTATTTTTTAAAGATGGGTTCTGCTTTTTAAGTGGACCTTTAAATCTATGTACAGGATGTAGCAACTTCCCAACATATGAGGAAAGGCTGTTTGTGAAAGAATACTTTCCAACCTAGATGCATTACATGATCTTGTTTAGAATGCCACACCAGATCTGAAAAGAGTATTTTATAGTGGCAAGGGTATAAAGTAAAAGAGGATAAAATAAAACTAGTGCGATATTTAACACTGTTTTTGATAAACTAACACATCAATATCTGGCTCGATGGATGTAGTATCAATTCTCTATAAATTCTCAAGGTGTTCATTAGATATTTTGGTTCTATTTTTGCCCTTCATGTGTTTCATCCTTACAAAATACGGTACTTGCTCACAAATATAGGTGCTGGCAAAAACTGATGATATGACTAAAGCGTGATTGTGAAGATTGAAATAATTTTCTTTAGGAATATACAACTTATATAAGGCTAGTTCTTCAGCCGCATGTGTTATCTAAGTGTAAACTCATTTTTTCAACCACCCCCCCCCCAAAAAAAAAATCAACATATTTTAAGTTTACAATTTTATGTTGGGCCATATTTATAGCCATCATGGGCCAATTGGACCCTCCCTGGTTTAAATGGAGGCTGCTTATTACCTTGTGTATGGTGAAACCAACATCTAGAGTTTGGGAACATTTCCATTCCAATTTCTGCTGAGAGAAATTAGCAAATATTCATTCAGTCGGCATAATGAACAAACACATATTTTTATGAAATATTCTGCTACAAGGATGACACAACACATTCTTGCATGCCAGAGGTGCCCTAAAGACATTAAAAATACTTTATGGAAATTAATGTTGAAGATCATAATGATAGTTCGAGTAGCTCTTTCTCCTGGCAGTATTCCCGAGTGTGGCTCGGGGTAAAGTTTCAGTACCAAAAGCGGTAACCCCGAGCTACACTCGGGCGTACCATGCTGCGTTGCTCAGGGATGCCCTGCAGCGCTTACCTTGTCCTTCGCTCCCGCGATGCGTCCCCTGCAGCATCCCCGGCCATCTCCTCCGGCCGATGCCGCCATCCGGCTTCCATGTTCCGGTCCCTGTGAGCGTCGGAACGTACGGGGGCCGGAACGGCGGCAAATTTAAAAATTTTTTGAAACTGTAATTTTCTTAGAAATTAATTTGACATAGTAAAACATTACTGTATCAAAGCATTTCACATACATTTTGTCCCTACTGCTTTGTCCTGTGCCCTGCCTGCATTTTGACTGTTCTTTCTGCCTGGAAACTTAGAAAAGTCCATGGCGTCCAAAAAGCATCCCTTTTGGTCAAAAGCAGTTTTAGATCGGCTAGAGAACAGCAATAATAAATCAGAACCAATTGCAGAATTGAGTGATAATGATTCGTGGGGAAATTCGTCATCAGACACTGAAAATGATTTTGCGACTTTGCTCAGCGATGTGCGAACTTGGTGCTATATTTCAAATTTCAGTGTTTTTGGTTTGATTATATTATTGAATTAAATTTATTATGATTATATTATTATTTTTATGATTATTTATGATTTTGATTTTGTGTTTCAAATTTTATCATACCTGGGATGTTTACTAGACTCTTGTTCGGACAGATTTCAGTGAGTTATTCCTAAAAATTACAAGCCAACAATAAAAATTAAAAATACAACAGAAATATGGACATAATCATACCGCTAGGGAGGTTAAAAAGCAAGCTTAGTTTATTTAATGCATAAGCTGTGCTTTTATTTCAGGCACTTTTATATACACTGCATTTCATTTTCCCAGTGTAACAAAATGACTTTCAATTTGTGAAACTACTGACTTTTTCCAGTTTTTCAGAAAGTTTCCATTTTTTCCAGAAAAAAACAGGGAAAATTTTTTTTCCCTATGGCTTCAAAATTTCCAAAAATTTTACATCCCTACACATGACCCCACTCTTGATCCCTGCACCAGCACACGATCCCCCCCACCACCACCACTGCACGAACACACATGACTTCACTATTCGACCCATTCAATGAATGGGTTCACTTTTACTAGTATTATATGTCATAGCACAGACACTTTAAGTTTTCATTTTATAATCTACTGTGGCATCAAATGACTTTCTAAAAGGCAGTAATATAGCATTGAAAGGTAATGATTTCTTAAAAATATATTTTTGTGCCAACTTATCTAACATAAAATAATAACACTTATACAACAAATTGGAATCTTTAGCAATCAGGAAGATTTCAATTTACTACAACTGTTTCAGCTAAGATTAAAGCTGACTCGTTGCGATGGGTCAAATCACAGGAATATACATTTTTGACTTGCCCAATGTGTGTTGGAGCAGATCAGCCCTTTGCATCCATCTCACTAAAGTATTGTACTAAAGGGGGGATTAAAGTGCACATTCAGCATATTTATGAAGTGCAACCTGACATTTCAAATATGCCAATGAGGGAAGCTCTACCATTACAGCCATTGGCTGCTATAGTGAGTTAATAGAACTAGGCAAGTAAGAACAAACTGTAACAAACAATGTTGTCTGTCATGTCGATATATGTCATAATGCATTTGCCTGATTCACTGCAAGCCTGAGTCCAGCATGCAAACCATTTTATTCACCCGATCTCCCCATCCCACCACTTGCTGATTTTCCTTCTTTTTTACTTTGTCGCTTGTACTTACATATAAACTAAAGTTTAAGTTGTGGTCATGTGTCGTGTGTAGTGCCTCTTTTTTTTCTTCAGGTGTAATGTGTTTATTATTACCCAAACTATGCCAGTAGATAAGGTTTTAAACACGTATAACACACGAGTTGATTTTAAGAGTCCATATATAGTGATGTTGAATAATTGCACTTTCACATCTAAGTAAAAAGAGTGAAAAGTAGCATTTACTGGTCTTAGTTGCAGGTGATTGTTGCAGAGAATCCAATGTGCCTATTCAGTACAGCTCTAACTTCACTAATATGTCTTCTTCTTTTTTCAGTTCTCCAGCAGGTATGATTGAAGGGACCCCACAGCTTCATGCAAATGCCTGGAAAATCTCATCAGCCTGTTTAACTCCAGTAAACATCCCTGTAGTGGACCCATGTGACACTAATCTTCAAAATGGTAAGTTGTCCAGGTTCTTTATGGTCATACAGTATGTAATTCTAAATACAAAACATAATACACTTCCTTAAAAAAATGAAAGGAACACTTTGAAAACACCTCACATCTCAATGGGGAAAAATATCATTCTGGATATCTATACTAACAAGGACTGGGTAATGTGTTGGGAACATAAGGATGCCCCATCGTTTGATGGAAATGAAAATTATCAACCTACAGAGGACTGAATTGAAAGACACCCCAAAAATCAAAGTGAAAAAATGATGCAGCAGGCTAGTCCATTTTGTTGAAATTTTGTTGCAGCAACTCAAAATGGTACTCCGTAGTTTGTATGGCTCCCATGTGCTTGTATGCATGCCTTACAATGTCGGGGCATGCTCCTAATGAGACGTTGAATGGTATCCTGGGGTATTTCCTTCCAGATCTGGACCAGGGCATCACTGAGCTCCTGGACAGTCTGAGGTGCAACCTGGCAGTGTTGTATGGTCTGAAACATGATATCCCAGAGGTGTTCTATTGGATTTAGGTCATGTGAGCATGGGGCCCATTCAGTGGTATCAATTCCTTCATCCTCCAGGAACTGCCTGCATACTCTTG